TTTTAAATAATATCTACAGTTTATTATCAGATTTGCTTTGCACAGATTTTCGTGTTTCTTAAATAGTCAAGGGAATGTCAGTTAATATCTCACAAATATTATTCTAATTATACATTAATGCCAACTTTCATTGGGCTTTAATTTATTCAAAATTATCAGTATTTCCCAAAAAACTTATTGTACTTACTATAAGAATCTTAAAGACACTGCCAACAGCACAGCCATGGGTATTTGTAGGGAATTTAATTCAAAAAGATTTTATGTCAAGATATATAATTAGGATATAAATTTTGGAGTTTAGAAGAGAAGTTATATAAACCAAGAAGCTGTTATATGGCACAACTAACATATTCTTGGTTGAATATTCTTTGTCTTTTTTAGCATTGCAAAATAAATTTTTGGCAATTTTTTCAATTTTTTTTATATTTTAGATTATATGCTATTTCAGAATTTTAAAATTTTCAATATTTCGTTGGTTTTCTGTATACCTGGAGATATCTGGAGAGGATTTCGGGGGTCAACGCCCCCGCTGCGTTTTAATAACTGCAACATTAAACTCAATTAACTTTATGGATGGAGTTTGACTATTCAAATCAAGTAGGATTTTGTTCATATCAGTATTAATGGGTAGTAAGCATAGGACGTCATCCACATGTTGTATCTGTACCATGTAGCTTTATCAGAAGAAATTCTCTTAAGCAGAAGCCTAGTTTCACAAAAATCAATGTTCAAATTGCTTAAGAGTAGCGACAGTGGATTACCCATTACCATACCAAAATTCTGTGTTTAAAATTCGCTATTAAATACAAATTTTGTACCATCAATGCAAAGTTTGGTAATAATAACCTCAGTGATAAACCTAACAGCAAATCGTATTTACGTAAGTCTTCAGATATGATATCAAAACTAAACATTGCATTTTTTCAGTCATAGTACTTAATTTATTAATATAATCAATATTATTCTTTGCATTAAATTTAGTAAGTCTGTCTTCAATTGTATCCAATATATATACTAGCCATTCGGAAAAATTGTAGGCGACTGAGTCACTGGAGTAATTATAGGTCTGGCTTAATTACCTGGTTTGTGTGTTTTATTTAATTCATACATATTTGGTAAACATTTATTGGTTATCATGGTTTTTTTAATTAGTTCATCTTTGCCTTTCAGTAGTCGCTTTCTTATATTGTTTTTCTGTTCTCGTGGTTTTGAAAGATCTTCCTTTTTCCAGAGATAAGAAAATATTGAAGATTTATAAAACAGAATATTATGTTTAATATCCAAAGAGATTTCATTGACAAATCTTTGAAAATTAGCAGAAATATATTTTAAAATCCTTAAAAGGACATAACACCATATTAATCCAAGAATATGCTAGTTCTTCCGTATGAAGACGTTTTGATGTACCTTCCCTACTTAAGAGCTTCTGAATTCGAAGTTACAAGATTTCAACCAAACCACGGTACGGGTAGGGTTTGAATCCATGGCGAGCGAGTAGTAAAACTCCAGGGCGAGTGAGTTGTAACACTCATTCGCCATGAGTTTCAACCTCACCTGTACCCCGGTTTATCTAGATATAAAATAACTATTTGATTAAGGATTCTACCCAAAAATCTGATAACTATTTCTATAAGACATCCCGTACAAAACCACAGGTAAATATTTTAGAAAAACTGCAAAAAGCTTCGTACGAAGATTGGATCATGAAAAAGACAGCTGTGGAACTGATCAAGAGTTTATTCAGGTGAAAGATTTTACTGTTATTGATTTTCAAAACGCCGAGAAAGTTTAAACTTGTAAATCAGTGTTTGAACAAAGTATAATATTGTGCCTTATAAAAAAAATCTGGTATTTTAAAAAACGTATTTATCGATAATACATAAAATTTAGGATGATTTTTAAGATATATTGACAGAATTCCTCTTAAATTCACTTTAAATTTTACCTGACATGTGACCTGACTAAAAATTTTAGAACAATGGAAATGTATCTTCCGCTCTCAATAAGGTCATGTAAGGTCACATGTAAGGTCACCTCTCTGATTCATAGGTTCGTTATTTTGTTGCTTTTATTGTTCTGAGATACTGAGAGAAATCACGAACGCACTTGTAATGTTAAAAGCTTTCACTATAAATAAGTTATTTATAGTGTGTGTGTGTGTGTGTGTGTGTGTGTGTGTGTGTGTGTGTGTGTGTGTGTGTGTGTGTGTGTAACAGATTTATTCATTCTTGAAGCAATAACCTTCGTGCGAGTATAAAAGACCATCTTCTTAGAGTATTTAATACACTGCATAGTTATTAACGTGTAGGTGAAAATACCATCAGTATCATAAGCAGTGTAGTGTTACCTACGCGACAGAGTGCGCTTATCTTAATATTTCATTATATCTAAAATAAACGAGTAGTTAAATGTGGGTAGCATACGCCGTAGAGTTTATCCACTTGAATCACGAAATCGCAATGACACCATTGCATACAAACCATACCATGGGCGGGGTTAG